TAAGTTACTTTTGAAGTACGTATGAAAACAGAAATTTTATTTTACAAAACCGGTGTAAAGAAGAATTTAAATACTTTCTCATCCAGTAACTTTGGGCTTCTAGACATTGCTATATCATGAAATCTCCCTTCATAACACGCCACGGCTTCAATTTCAGTGTACTGAAAGCAACGCTGTGGAATATTCTCCCCATTTTTTAATGTATAAGGTTGGAAACACTGTAATTGGTGTTTCGCTAATTGCGTGAAGACAGGCTGTGTGTCTGAGGGCCTTGTCGAACAGTGGAATTGGTGTGAGTTACTGCAGTAGCAATAAGTTGCCGTCGGTTCTACCCCCCCTCCAACAGCCACTTTTTTTATGAGGCTCGTATTATTACAATGGGGTGGGGGTGGAATTACGAGCTGTAGAAGGGGTGGGTTTCAAGTTTAATAGAGTAAACTTTCCTGGGGAGGGAAGACTTTATCCCCTTGCTACTGTTACTATAGGAGGTATCTGAACATTGCTACTGGCACATAAATTTCGCCACCAACTTGCCGGCATTGGTGACATTCACAGGTGTTGCCACACAGTGTGCCAAATCAGGCGTTCCTACCCCACTTACTGCTGTCCTACTTCCTTCACTTCTTCGTTTTCTGCCCAGCGACCACGAATTTCATTTCTTGACCGTGAAGCGTTGGCTTGTACCTCTGGTTTATAATGCAGAATACCATCATGAAATTTATTTCTGCGAGAGATCTGGGATTTTCACGCCTGTGACTATAAAAATTATTGTCTTACGGGATGTAACGCCGTTTAGTTTGGTAGAGCCTTACCTCTGTTTTGGAGGAACGTCAGTTCGAATCCAAAAGATTATACGGTGTCATGTGACAGAAGAGATTAATCTTCAAGCATCTTTCTACTATAACGGAGTGAGTGTATATTTTTGCAGTTCACTCTACGACTCTGATGGTTTCTGCACTGTGTGTACAACGGTAATTGGCGAGAGGAATGATTTTTGGGCAAAAAAAAAGGTGGTGGGGGGCGTAATCGGGATATTGTTCGGTCCTTTACTTGGAAGCGATGAGTGAAACCATGAAGAAGCTCCGTTAGAAGAGCCTGTATCCGGGCCAAGAATTGAACCGAGCACTGCGCTATACAAACCCGCTCTATATACAAGTATTTTGGTGTAAATGCCAGAATATTCATATTGTATAACAAAAAAAAACAAACAAAACGAACTCCGTTGCCTGTAGTCCGCAAGCGAACTATACCGACCGAGCGACCGCCGCTTGTTGGCGATGTTAGTACCAACTTTAGCGGATAGAGGGTGTCGCTTTGTCAGTGCAACGAATCTCCACGGCCGTTAATCTCGGTTTTCTAGACCGGAGCCGCTATTTCCTTGAAATAGCTCCTCAATTATCCTCATGAGGCTGAGTGAACCCCGTTCCAGGTCCACTATTTCTAAGAAAATCTGGTAGCGCCGGGAAAAGAACCCGGGACCTCTGGATCTGTATCCAGGAACTGTGACCACTAGGCCACAGAGGCTGTACATATTGTATAACCTGCCGAATAAATGTTCTCGGAAGACTACTTGCAAGTGCATTTTCTTCAACATTCTGTACAAATCCCTGTAAAAAAGAGAAAGCCAGTTTCTTGCCTCGTTTTCTTTTTTTCTGCTGGTTGTCCAGCGTTTAGAATACGCCACACGACTTACTGTGCTACCGACCGCCTCGAGAGAGAAAACACCATACAAACGCGTTCCTGTTCCGTCCTGCTACAATAAAGTTTTCATTATATTCTTCCAGCTATTTAATTTCTAGTTTATATCTTGACACAGACACATTTGTATTCCGTAAGCAGAATCTTCTAGTCTTGTTTAATTACAGTAGGCCAGTTCGCCCAACGTAATTACATTACAGGGTGTGGTGTAGCATAGTATATTTCGTAACAAATGACTCCAAATGTGATCAGAGCATTCTCTTTTCGCTTGAAATAAAATGGAACATGCATCACTTTTAAATACTGAAATATCGATTACATATAATTCGACATCAGTATAGTATATCATTCGTGCATGGGGACGTGTAGACTATATGCACTTTGGCATCAAATAGGCCTATAAAATAACACCCTTAACAAAAAAGCTGTAATAAAAACACCTGAAAAACTCAGAGGTGAAGATAATTTTTTTCTATGATTACTGTCTTGTGGTATGTATATACGGTAAATAGGCAAAAACGTTTCAGAGAAAATGCTGCCTCCATCTTCAGGGTAGAAAATTGATACTTTTCTGCCATCTTCTACTTTTCTACCGTGTTCATAAAGGTATAATGTTCCTTTTAGATGTTGCTACCTAGCTAGCAATCTACGCGGCTTCATATTCCAGAAGGTCCTTGATCGTAATTTATTTGGTCAACTTTTACGTCATTTCCATAATGACATGTTATATGTAAGGGAGTGGGGATAGCTCAGTCGGTATAGCGATTGGCTGGACAGCCGAGGAGTCGGAATTCGAGTCCCGGTAGGGGCAAGAGATTTCTCCTCTCCGCAACGTCCAGACCGACTCTGAGACCCAACCAGCCTCCTATCCAACGTGTACAAGGGCCTCTTTCCCTGGGCATAAAGCGGCCGGGGTGCGAAGATGACCACTCACCTTCAACTAGGGCCGAAGTCAAGAATACATGGTTATAGACATTCACCTCCCCCATACGTCTTCATGGCGTAGTGCTTAATTAGTTAAGCACAAGGACAACTTTACCTTTTACATTACCTTAATACTAATTAAGTAGTTAATTATACAGGGATATATTATTAATACTTAGATCCGCTCCCTAGCAGCAAATCATGACAATGTTTCAGAGGACATCGGTAAAGAGGCCCTCTGCTCTGTAGATAGCTACCCACCTTTGTTCCATACAAACTTCTAAAGACAGGAATAAGAGCTCCGAAACATATATGCACATGCAAAATAATGAAGTGGCTTTTACAGTAGCATTATAATTCTAAATTTTCACACCCTCATTTTAATTCATTTTCATGAAATTACTCTTACACTTAGGGTACTTTGTAACTCTGATTTCCTGTCTGTCAGTGACTACATACAGAAACAAATACTTCTTTATCTCGCGCACACTGAACAAGTTAAAAGCAAGTAGATACTGAAGAAAAAAAAAACGTTTTTAATCATGCGTTTTTTCAACATATTACTTACAGTGATTCACTGCAGAATTAACTATTTACATGCAAGAAAATCCTTCTTGTGATAATAAAATGTGCCCAGAAAATCGAGAAATTCCCTGCATTTTATGGAGGTCGAATGTTCTTGGTATGTTCATAATAGATCGCATTGTACCTCTCATGAACTAGATGTATCTAATCCATGTCCTCCTGTCCCATTTCTCTGAGATCCATTTTAGTATTATTACTCCTCCTCATGTCCCTAAGTAAATCGTGTTCTTCATTCAAGATTGACACAGAAACATTGAATTAAACATTGAATTTGTTTATTTTTGCGACGCTCTTAGTGTCTGGCCTATAGGACGATTGGCGAATAATGGATTCGATTGGAACTTGAAGAGTTCGCCTTAGCTTATTCGACCTACCATCCCAGCACATACCTGAAGGGCTTGAGGAAAAGTAAGAGAACACCTATTCAGAATTTGCGGCGTCCCAACCAAGATTCGAACCGAGTACCTCATGAAAAAGTCAGAAACTTTACTGCTTGAGACAAGTTGCTCGATCTCACTCGCCTCATACCCCTTGATTTGTTTTGCGAGGGTGGCAAATTGTGGTGTTTCTTGCTGTCGACTCCACTGAATAATCGGTTCAACAATACGAAATTCTCTGGCTGCTTCTGAAAAGCATTATGCATTTTGCTGCTTAGTCTTGAACCCGTAGGTCCTCGCCTGATTGCTCCACGAGACAGTGGCTCCAATCCACTGCATTATTAAATTTCCAATAGCACTCAAACTCTTGTTTGGTCTCCTCAAAGGCAGCCTCTTTGGCTCCATCTCGCTGACAGACGAGTAATGACAAGGAAACCACGAGGTATTTTTTTTAATTGTAAGAAAAAACAAGTAAATAGAAAAGAGGCCTAGGCAATGTTCATCCGGCCTTCTGTAGCACATTCTAATAACCATCTTATTCTGTAATACAGGTGGTCCCGCGATTGTTAATATAGATCTTGACTTAAATCTGTGTATACTCTAAGTATTCAGTGCAATTACTTCTTTTATTTTTCTTAAATATCTGTAACCACGAGGTACTGAGAGCTAGCGCCGAGAGTCATCTAGTTCACAGACCGATCAAACAGCAGTGGGTCTCATATCGTGAAGTACAAATGTAATTATTTGATCTGCTTTACAGGCACGAAACCTGGCTGTTCACACCAATAAAGAACATAGATTGAGGGCTTTTGATAACAGAGCTCTGAGGAGAACATTCACATTTAAGGGTCAAATTAAGCAGGTCATTAAGGACTTGTACTGTACCGTGGCCTGTAGTCCGAAAGCTAAGTATACCGACCGAGCGACTGCCGCTTGGCGACAAAGTTAGTGCCAACTTTTGCGGATAGATGGTGTGGCGTAGTCAGCGCAACGGTTCCCCACGGACGTTAATCTCGGTTTTCCTTGAAATAGCTCTTCAATTATCATCACGATTCTGAGCGGACCCTGTCCCAGACCCACAACTTCTCGGAAAATCTGGCAGCGCCGGGAATCGAACCCGGGACCTCTGGATATATAGCCATGAACTCTGACCACTAGACAACAGATATAGGTTCAATAAAAGACGCCGGATATCTTGACTAGCGTAGGTGGTCAGATTTCTGTAATATCTTAATAATTCTCAATACTGAGTATCTGTAATTTCGTATTTATGGATTTCCTACAATACAGAGTAGGGACTTTTGATTATTTTTTTTCGGATTGTTTGCGAGAACATTAAACATCGAAGAAAGCACACCAAAATTATATTTTGTATGGCTAGAAACAAGAACAAGAACAATCAGTTTTTCGTTGCAGATGGCTGAGGTCGTGTGACTGACATGACGCTCACGACAGTGCTGGTCGCAGCGCTCCTGGTGGCGACCTGTGTTAACAATGATGCTCGAACCACAGATGACGGAAGCAAACAGAAATTCCTCTGGAAAACAGGTATATTGTAGTTTTGAAGACTTACTTATCATTATGAATATCCTTGTTCTTTTTATTCAAGTTTCGTAATTAATATTTCTCAAAATATTATTGAAATACAGTTATGTTTGGGCAGCAACTGGAGCTGAAATTATGTGTCAAATGTTTCGTATTATGCTGAGAAATTAAAAAGAAACTTATTGTTTAAGGCTATTCCAGTACTGTTATACTCATATTTTCGCATCTCATGCCCCACTGGTCACTTCGTCAAAAAGAAATTTTAATCGCTTCGTAGTAAAAACAAAGTTCCTCTTTTCCCAAGGAGTGTATTGTTACCGTTTTTATATTATAGCTTTACAGTAATCATTAACGGAAGATCTTGCGGACTTAAAGATTACAAAATTTGTTGATAATAACTTATGTTTCATTACTACAATTATATAAGAACAATATATCTCAACGATTAAAATGCACTATTAGAGAGGAAGCTTTTGTGTAACCAAATTTTGTTTAAATAATTAATGTATATTTTTTAGACCTCTCGTTTCACGCAAACCGACAACCACGTTCCACCAACGAGACGCCTCCCACAACCTGAGAAACACTGGTGAACTAAACAAGCCACGTTTAAGTATTACTGTCTAAAACCTGTCAGCGTAGAATGTAAAGAGTCTAATAGAATTTCAAGGGATACACCACGAGAGAGTTGCATTTCTTTCGCATGAGGTTCCACAGCCAGAAGCTCTAAAATGAAGGATGGGAATCCATGTATCTTGTCCGATTAATTGGGTCTAGAAAAGAAGTTAATGGTTAAAAAATTAATGGGTCAATTGTGACATCATTTTAGCACCTGTACGAAGGAAACGGACCGCACGGTCTAAGGCATGAACTGTCTTCAGTTGCTCGAATGCTGGGATCATGGGTTAGAATCCCACTCAAGGCATATATGTCAGTGTTTGTGTCGTTCTGTGTGTAGGTACCGGCCTTGCGACTGGCTGATTCCCCGTCCAAGGAGTCCTACCGACTGCGTATAGGATTAACAAACTGAAAAAAGCGACCAAGGTTCAATAAAATGGCTGTAGAGCCATAGAGAGACGAAGGAAATGAATGTAGCCTATTAAGCAAACAAACTTAGACTGCGCAGCTAGATTTCATTGTGCTCTCTAGTTATGTAGGAGGAACTGACTTGCCTTTCAGGGGCCTGGGGTTCATGTTACGCGATAGGAGGCTGCGGGGAGGGACGCAGGGAACGGCTCGTGTGGTGTTCGGAGGCGGATGGTCGTACGGTGCTGGAGGTGATGTGCGACCCACAGTCTGAGCCACCTACTAGCAAGACTTGTTTCACTGCTTGCCGCCATCATAGGGGTAAGTGACTTTCTTGGAGTGGTATTGTTTAAGGGGTACTTTACTCATGATCATTTGGATTGAAATTCCCTTTTTCCTCCACTGCAGATGATGATGACTCAGAGATCCGTGGCACTGTTAATACTTATAAAAGCCAAAGTAGTCTGTTCTATCACTGTACGCATAAAGTACCGTAAGAAATTACATGATTAAAAATAAATTATACATAAAATACAAAAAACAAGGAGCCACACGATAGTAATCATGAGGCTAGTAAACTAGTTTAGGGTGCACTGCGGCACTCCCCCAACAGGGTGCCGAAGTCACCGACTTTTCCGTGTTTATGCAAATAAAAATCGCAGACATGTAGAACCAAATACCGTGGTTGGCAAAAATTCGTACAAATTAAAAATCTGGCATGCATGAAACCCTCAATTAACAAAACCGCGTTTCGCTAGGAATAGCTGCTTGCTTATCTCATTTATCGGTTCATTGCTTGCTGTATCGGGTAGTGTTAAGAAGGGCTGAGGTCGTTATTAGAATGGGGGCTTGTGTGAATGATTAAAACTGCTTCTTCTACATGTCTTCAGTCTCGACTGAGGAAGTTTTGTAAGCTCAGATTCTTGTTTGATGTCATCTCTGTGCTCCAACTTCTCTTCATATGCAAAAATGTTTCTAATAATTTATTCTCTACAGAAAGCCACTCTGAATGCTATTTGTTATCCGACCTTAATCTGCAAGCAAATTAGTTTCCATTCTTTAATCAGGCTCAGAGTAATTTTCCCCATGTTCATCACGTGAATATCTAATTATGCTATTGACGCCTTCATCAAACTTTAACGTTCTCAAGTTATTTTATCGAAGATCCAGGGGAGAGTGGCAAGAAACAGATCAAGGCAAGGATCGCTGAACACGTTACCTCATGGGAAACATGTTTGAATCTATGTGAGCACGAATTATCCTAGTTGATAATTTTCGTGACTTTCCTCAGGCTATCCAAGGTAATGCATAGGACTGGATTTACGATTATGGGGCCCCGAGGCAATGAAAATATGGAGACCCCTATCAAACAAAAAAAAAAAAACTCCGCAGTTTTAATCCGTAAGCGAACTAAACGTATACCGACCGAGCAACCGTCTTTTGCCGGCGAAGTTAGTGCCAACTTTAGCGGATAGAGGGTGTCGTGTTGTCAGCGCAACGTATCCCCACGGCCGTTAATTTCGGTCTTCTAGACCGGAGCCGCTATTTAATTGAAACAGCTCCTCATTATCCTCACGAGGCTGAGTGGACCCTGTTGAAGACCCATTACTTCTCAGAAAAACTGGTAGCGCCGGGAATCGAACCTGGTCCTCTGGATCTGTAGCAAGGTACTCTGAAAACTAGACTACAGAGGCGGTTGGAGACCCCTATCCGCAACAAAAAATTTTGGTCCCGACAGTTTTTGTTGTTGTTCTTATTTCTTATAATTACTTAAAGTACAGACTAAATTTTCCTGAACTGAGAAAATCAAACGTCTCAGTTAAATCTGCGGATTCTATTCCTGTTCTGTGGAGGCCCCTAGGAGAACCCCCCGGTCGCTCCCCCTTAAATCCGCCAATGTTAATTCCGAGATGATAAACTGAAATATTTCACGCCTACAATTATCCATTTCTTCCAGTTTGACCTGTACTTATTATTTGGCCTTTTTCAGGCTTCGTGAACTAACAATGGTCAAAACAAGGAGCACCGAAAAGAGAAACGAATAGGCTTACGTAGCAGTGGACACGACTCGTTTACACTGAAAACGATTCTTCGTGTATTTTTGTGAAGCAGCCCCCCCCCCCCTGTACGTCTCACAATATTGCAGTATAGAAACATGAAAACATGAAAGAAAACGATTGTCCATCTTCATTATCCCTGAAAGACATAACAGAAGAGTAGGTGAGTTTATTTCTTCAGCTGAAACGATAAAGTCTGAAATACATGCTCTCATATTTGTTTGTAGTTCATTTAAGCTGCTATCGGTAACTCAAGATTATGCGAAACAGAATGAATTGGCACTGTTGTAGAAGTGAGAAGCCGCGGCCTACTTGAAGCTCCAATCTCGACATTTATCTGGAGGAAATGAGGAGAACTAAGAAAATCCTGAGTCAGGATGGTCGGGGTCTCGGTCGGGGTTCGAGTAGGATATCTTCTGAATAGGAGTGAGAAGCTTTCTCGCTTGAACCGGTTTGCTCGGCGCATGTGCTGAATGAAGCACGCATGTATGTTGTTGTCTAAGAAATTTTTGATGACGGGTCATAAGGTAGCGATATAGATTTTTACGTCTTCAGTAAAACGTTGCTAGTTATTATTTTCAACAAAAAATGGAAGCCAAAATCGCTATATCGGAATTCTAATCGAAGACAGAAGAATTTTTCCCCTCCGTAAGGTTGCCTTATCAATGAATGATGTATCATAAAAAATGTTTCAGACAAAGTATAAGAACTGGTTCTAAAGGCTCGATACTAGCAACATTTTATTTAAAAACGGCCATGAAATATTCTGTTTGGAAAACCTACCACCCGAAATTTAACTCGTACGACCTGATGTGGGAGTCAATCAAACTTTCTGTTGACTCGCGGAATATTAACCTCGCCATGTTTACTGGTTGGCAACTGGCCGTGAGACTCCCATATGGCAGAATGGTTGTCAGCTTTTGATCACGTTCTGAAGGAGGTGAATATTGTATGGCCAGGAAATGGATGACTTCCGTGCCGTGCTACGAGAAACAAGAGACACTAGAGACAGCGATAATACATGCTGTGGGCGGGCTGACAATGGGTCAGAATCAGACATGTCTGCAATGGAATCATCATCATCATCATAATCATCATGGATTAGTCAGTACGTGGTCTGCATGTCGCTCTCTGCATCTTAACAGTGGGCGTCCTATGTATGATAGAATTATCATCGGAATCAGTCCGCCTTTCATTCGTTGCACGTGATATTCCCATTGTGATGTGCATTCTATAATTTTAGCGTTTAAGATGTTGAGCTCTTCCCTGATTTTATAATTTCTTACTTGGTCCTTCCTTGTGTAGCCTGCTACATCATTCAAGAATTGCATTTCTTCAGTTTCAAATTTTGCTCTCTTATTTTGGTCCATGTTGTCCACGGCGGAGGAATCTGTTTAAATAGGTAATTTGACGAGCATTGAACGAAATGTATAAGTATGATTGTAAAAATCAAACGTTACTACAACCGAAATTATTTCTCAACAGTATTGTTTTCAGATTACTCTTTGATCTTACCCTATGATCATGGTAATAACCTTTCGAGTTCCATAAAACTGGAATTTCTTCAGCACCGAATATTATTAGCTTCTTAAGAATGTGTCAGCTCAGTGGAGTTGGTTAATTGCTACTTGACATTGTTTATTTAGTTGTATTTAAAGAAAAGGGGTTGTTAATTACCTTATCTTATTATATCACATATGCCCCTGTCAATGTACAATAGATGAGCAAAGGAGATAAAGTTATCCCTGTGCTTAACTAATTAAGTATTACGCCATTAAGGCGTATGGGGGAGTGGATGCATGGATCCACATTTTCTTGACCTCGGCACTAGCTGGAAGTGAGTGGTCGCATTCCGGCCTCTGCCGCTTTGCCCCCGGGATAGAGCCCTCTATACACATTGGATAGGAGGCTGGGTGGGCCCCAGAGCCGGTCTGGATGACGTGGAGAAGTGAAAATTCTTGACCCCACTGGGAATCGAAACCTGACCCCTCGGTCGTCCAGCCCGTAGCCAGTCGCTATACCGAGTACGAGTTCTGTACTTTCGGAATAGTAATCAAAAAGGAATGCTGAAACCGAGCACCAGGGACTCGAACACCAGAACCCAAACTATAAACGGCAACGAATTATTCATTCGTTCATGCAACTTCAGCTAAATTAACATAGTGTCCATTGCTTTATAACAAAATGAATGGACATTAGGATGAACGTCAGCTGTTTTTACGAGCAGAATTTTGAAACAAAAAGTTCTAACTACGGAGAATATGTCCGCAGAGTTCTAGTTCCACTGTCTGAGTCTGAATGGGGGATGAGACCTGCAAGTGCTTATTGTTTCTGGCTTACCGCTTACCTTTGTCCCCACATCCCCTTCAACTCCCTCTGCCTCGGCCTGTGAGACCATGCACCGTGCAATTTCACGTCAGTTATACAGACAAGCCTGAGAGGAAGCTGTGGTGGACAGGGCAGAGGCTGCCAGTTAAATGAAACATCTGACATCATCTCTAGAAAATACAAGCTTAAAATATTTGTGACTTCCCAGCAGTGCGCAACATTAGTTACACAGAGATATAACTTAATTTTTTCAGAAACTCAGCATAAAATAAAATTGTTCTGAAAATAAATTCAGTGTATTCCTTTCAGTCCTGTGTGGAAGGCTGGTTAGATTGTAGCCCTGTGAGACGCAGAAGGCGACGAAAGGGACCCCGGTGCCTGAGGATAAAACTGGGCCACATGTCACGGGGGACACAAATAAAGATATCTGATCCTCCAGGTCAGTGTTAGGTGAGCCTCTTGTCACGATGCCATGGCACGTCCTCAGGTTGCGGATGGAGGAGACGTCCTACAGAAATGGAAGGCAGTTGCGGATATACTGAATAAGCATTCGCGGACAGCCGACAAAGGGTGGGTCTCCAGCTTTGGTGTTGGGCCAACAACTCCTCACCGTAAAAAAATAAGCTTGTTACGAGAGATCACACAAAGCCTCGGACCTGGACGGATTCTTTGGATAAACGACCTAAGCTAAAGAAAATGGATATGAGATTTAATACATGAAAAGTGAGAAGCATGTATAGGGCAGGTTCGCTCAGGTCAATGGCAGAAGAAATCTCAAAATATAAGTTAGATTTAGTGGAAATACAGGAGGTCAAATGGGACGGAGGTTACACCGAACCCGCAAGCGAATTCAAAAGGGGATGAGAATTATGAATTAGGTACAGGGTTTCTCGTACATAAGAGAATCGTATCAGCAGTTAAGAGGGTAGAGTTTGTTAGTGATATGATGTCATACACAACACTAAAAGGTCACCGTTGAGGTATCATCATTCTGAATGTTCATGCCCCAACAGAAGATAAAATGGACGATATGAAGGACAGGTTCTATGAACTAGAACATGTGTTCGATAAATTCCCTAAATACCATACGGAAATTCTGATAGGAGATTTCAGTGCCTAAGTAAGTAGGGAAGACATTTTTAAAACCAACAATAGGATTGATCTTTCTCAGGACCAGTGGAGGGCTCCTGTGATCACGGTAATGAACCTTCGGGTTACAAAAAATACTGGGAAGTTCTTGAGTAGCTGCACAATTGGCAGCTTCTCAAGAAGGGCTCCATAAAGTTAGTTAGTTATAGATCTGCGACAATGAAATTATAAATTAAAATTTTGGAATGCTTTCGGAAATTAAATATACCGACGGAGCGACGGATGGATGGCCACACACTAATTCATATTAATTTAATCTTTCGATGGGTATGTACACATAAACCTTTCTATCAACATTTGGGGGCAATAAGACATCGGAGATCCGACGGTGACTCAGCGCGCTTTAATTGAATACTGGTAGTGAATTTATTCGCTATTATGAATAGTAAGCCTATTCTGAGTATGCCGTGCAGGGACGGAAATGAAGCAATAGAACTTGCTACACATTCCAGAGCAATAGAGAATCCTGGAGGTATGATCAACATACATTAAAAGGGGAATCATTGCAATGTATATTTCGCAATTCGTTACCACGAAGAGAAAACGTGTCGTTACTTACTTACTTACTTACTTACTCACTCATGGAGATGAGATCTTCTTGAGGAGCCGCCAGTTACGCAGCTGTTCAAGAATTTCCCAGCATTTTATGAAAACCAAAGTTTCATTACCGTGTTCACAAGAGCCCTTCATTGGTCCCTATCCTGAGTCAGATCAATCCAATCCATACTATTCCATCCTATCTTTCTAATATCCATTTTAATATTGTCCACCCACCTACGCCGTGGTCTTCCTTCTGGCTTTGCCACCAATATCCTATATGCACTCCTCTACTCCATTCGTGCTACATGCCATGTCCACCTCATCCTCCTTGATCATTCTACTTATGCTTGGAGAAGAGTACACGTTATGAAGCTCCTCATGATGCAGTTTTCTCCAACCTCCTGTCACTTCATCTCTATTCGGTCCAAATATTCTCCTCAACACCCTCAGTCTATGTTCCTCTCTTAATGTCAGAAACCAAGTTTCACATCCATACAGAACAACAGGCAAAATTATAGTTCTGTATAGTATAATTTTTATGTTTTTGGACAGAAGACGAGAAGAAAAATTGTCATTATGCATTATAATTAGGACGTCTTAAGGCAAAGGAAATACGTTCGCTAAAAGCACCCTGGAAGAAGTACTATCAAGGGATTTGTTTAAAAGGGTTGAGGAAAACCATGAAAACAACCCAGAAGACCGTTCTCTCCACAATTACCGGCGTCACCAGTGTGAGAATGTCAAGTCCAACGTAGCTATATCGAATTTTTAATACTGTCGTAACCTTACCCACTTGTTTACTTACTTCAGTCTTCCAAACCAGTGGCTGGTATATTGACGGGTCAGCCAATAAAATCACAATTTACTCTGCGCATGAGATCACGTGACGATGGCGTGACCCCCGCCGCTGCCACCCCACATTTCATTGCAATTCTGATTTCCTCAGCGTTGCCTAAAAGGACTCTGTCCCCCCCTCAAATAAATCACTTATAAAATAAACAGACCTAAGCGCTATCCAAGTTTCGACGTAAATCAACCCCTGAATCGTTAAAGGAAATAGAGCCGTGCCGTGCCGTGCCGTGCCGTGCCGCACCGCGTAGGTTTAAATGTCCACTTGAGAAAATATCATGGCAGCTGTCGGATTTGGGGATGTTGTTAAGAGAAACGTCGTTAGAGGTGATAAATTGACTCTGCAGCAGGCCCAACTATAAATTATTAATTAATATTTATTTATGGGCGTTCTTTTTGTGAATATGATAGCGTTTTGAGTTTTATAAAGGGTATCGCTTTGGCGGACTGACACAGAGGTTATTAAACTCTCCCAGTGCGTTCTAGGTCTACATACCTATATGAATTTTCATCGAATCTTATTACATGGTTTGGAAAAAGAATTATTCAGACAGACAGACAGACATGATACTCATTTATGCAATGTATTCAAGAGCCCAAAAATTGTTCACTCTTACACACATCGCCTGCTGACAAGCTAGAGTTTAGTTAAAGCGAGTTCAACGGTAATAACTTTTGCCGAACCTTGAAGTCGAGTTGTAGTACTCCTGCTTAGACTGAGGGAGAAGGGGAGGGGGTGGGGAACGGGATCCACTCAGCCTCGTGAGGAGCTATCTCAAGGAAATAACGGCTCCGGTCTAGAAAACCGAGATTAACGGCCGTGGGGATCCATTGCGCTGACCACGTGACACCCTCTATCCACAAAAGTTGGCACTAACTTCGCCGACAAGCGGCGGTCACTCGGTCCGTATAGTTCGCTTGCGGACTACAGGCCATGGAGTTTGTTTGTTTGTTTACCTTGCTTCGCGGGAGAATTTTAATAATGGCAGGAATATAATAATTCTGGCAAGTTTCGCCACAGGCTACTACTGCAGTCTACTTATACATTTTCGGTTCTAATATTTGTTGTCAGACTGGAAACCACAGCTTCAGATTTTTAGATATTGTTGACATAGCACTTAAAGTCTCTCTGTATGTAGGCTACTCACACGGTATAACTTGCAAAAATAAGCGACAAGTAAACTAAACTCACCCTGTTCATATGGGATTTGAGGTTTCCACAGCAATAAAAATTCTTGTTACGGTCTTCCGTATTATGATATCTTGTAGTCTGGTAGGTGAATACCAACGTTTAGAAGCAGTCGCTTCGTGTATTATTAGGGTAGAAGTGAGCCATGCTGGCAACGTGGCTAGAAGATCACGTGAATTCTCTTGTACTGTGGAATAATAGATTTGTTACTGAAACACAGTCCCCTGGCTAGTAGGCTGCTAGTAAAAATATATCCATAATCTATTATATATTCTATCTATTATATTCATAATCTTATTGATCTAATAGTCAGCCTAGTAGAAATGCTCGGCCAGCGCGTAAGGCTGACAACCTCATCGCCACCTGTGAGCCGATTGTCTAGAAAATGTTGGATCCTCGACGTCTCACAACCCTATAGGCTCCACGGCCTCTTACAGGGATAGCTTTATTTTATTCGGAAAGTCCCAGATTCGAATCTGGGCCCTGAGAAATAGTACATATGTGCGGCTTCAAGGTTTAGTAATATTTCGATGTGACAATATATCGTGCAATGAAAAATAATCCACCGTTTGTTGAGCCATATCAATTCTGTCCTCTTCTAGACAAGTTGCAGTGGCAGGTGGGGGCCTGGGGTCCATGTCTGCCTGTGTCCCCGGCAGATGTGAATCAGGTGGCAGCCATACACCAGCCCGTGGTAGGAGATGCTCGACATGACAACTTGGGGGTTACACAACGGAACGTGAGCTGTGTGCTCGTGTCGCATGAGGCCACCAAGGTACGTATGTGTTCAGTCATTTTTCACTTCTTCCGCCACCATATACCACTAAGTGAACAAAAGTTTGTCTTCAGGTACATCGATCGGTGGACGAAGAAAACTGTTTCACAGTGGCCAGAAAGCCTGACCCTGTCCGATTTTGCCACATTCCACGTCCCCAGGATTGCGTAGTTGGTCCCTACGGTGAGTGGAGCCCATGCAAGGGCTGTCCAGCCGGGAACCAGACTCGGGTGAGAGCTGTGCTGGTGGCGCCGCTCAACGGAGGGCGGCCGTGTCCACAGTTAACTGACACTAGGGTGTGTAATCCGCGGTCCGAATGCCTTCTGCACAGCAAGAGCAGTAGCGTGGAGGACGGTAGCCGCTCTGGATCGCCAGAGTACAAGCTAAAGCTTGGTGAGTGGAGGCGTTGCGAGGCGCCAACATCAGTTGTGTCTGCAGATCTCATAGAAGCTCGTCTCCAGCAGCATGGTAAGCTACATCGTCATAAGTATTGACGGTATATGGGAAGCGTGCCGCCGAAAAGTCTGGCTTATCGAACAGCTTGTCACTCGTATTCATTTCAAGTATCGACCAGGACTGAAGTATTTCCTGATTATCTTCAGTCCCTTCAGCAAATTCCGAGATAGTACCTAGAGTAGGCCACGACCGCGTCTTTCAAAATCCTTTCTAATTCATCATTGGCTTGCCAGCCGTTGATACGATGCTGTATACGAGTAGTTCAGCGACTGAAAGCCTCGTTAAATAACTCACAGAAATTGAAAAGATTTCAATCTATGTGATGATTGCATAATTTTATATGCATCTCCGACAGCACAGTTGGTGGATTCAGTGTGACATGGAACACACAGGCATTCATTCTGACCAAAGAATAAATTTCTTACAGAGATACTGAGTATGTGTATTAAGGGTGTTTCAGAACAAGGTGTTGAGGAGAATATTTGGACCGAACAGAGATGAAGTGACAGGAGGTTGGAGAAAACTGCATTATGAGGAGCTTCATAACTTGTACTCTTTACCAAGTGTAATTAGAATGATGAAGTCAAGGAGATGAGCTGGGTAGGGCATGTGGTACGAATGGGGGAAGAGCAGAAATGTATATAGGATATTGGTGGGAAAGCCGGAAGGAAGGAGACCACTAGCAAGACTAAGGCATAGGTGGGCGAACAATATTAAAATGGATCTCAGAGAGATAGGATGGGATTGTATGGACTGGAGTGATCTGGCTCAGGATAGGGACTGCTGGAGAACTCTTGTGAACACAGTAATGAACCTTCAGGTTCCATAAAATGCTGGGAAATTCTTGAGTGGCTGCACAATTGGCAGTTTCTCAAGAAGGCCTCAGCTTCATATGTGTGTGTGTGTGTGTGTGATACTGAGTATGTATAGGACTATATCTGCAAGTAAGTCACCAGGCACGTCCACGTAAATTGATAATTTTTTACTTCAAAATAGTTAAATATTTTTAAATTGAAAGATACACACAGGCCCTGGTAGAAGCCCAAATGCTCCCCAAGAAGATGAGAAAACCTCCCTCCCCACCCAGTTAACAGACTTCTCAAAAGTGACAAAACATGAAATTCCTAGATACTGACGAAGACCGACATTAGTGTCATAACTCTGAAAAGAGTTTTAGTTACGTTGCTGCATAACAATGTTTAGATTATTGTCAATTAATGGCCATGATAGAACAGAAGAGTAACAAATTATTTTTACTCAATGTAAGTCTAAAAAAGAGTTGTAAAATATTCTCAGGTGGTCTCTTATTTCCCCTGTGCTGCTGTGCCAGACCCAGGTGTATGTATGTACATGACCGCTTTTCGATGATGTCATGAATTCAGTACTTGTAACTTCAGTACTTGTATTAGTCTGTAATAGTTGGAAGTATTTGGTCTTTCTGTAATGTTATTTTGTATTAATGAAGACATGTTTTTAACTGTGAAATTCTCATTAGCTCCTCATAAGTTAATTACAGTGGCATTTAGTATTATACATATGTGACTCAGGAAGTTTACAGACTACTGATTAGTAAATGGTCATGCATTATTCAATAAATATCAACATGTGACATAGCTTATCACTGAAGGGTCTTGCATTCAATCACAGGAAAATCTATATGGCACTTGTGGGCAAAGTGGCACCATGGAACAGTTTTATCTGCGGTCTTCGGATTTCCCCTATCACTTATCATTCCACCTATGCCCCATACTTATCTGTTACCCGATGTCTATCCAAGGAAAACTGTTAACAGTTAACGCAGCAATTAAACGTGCAATAACTAGTAATGAGACACTTCATATATTACCATAAGAAAATCGTGTTTTATTCTTTGAATTGATTTATTGGTGTTAAAATTGCACTTAATAAAAGTTACTTGGGGGGGGGGGACAATCAAATTTCTACATCAATGTTAAACATTGAAGTCATTAAGTTTATTCAATTAAAACAAGTTTCATCAACTTCTAGTTTTGAAAATATGACATTTTAGTCCCTACAGAAACCTGTGCCTTTCCAATTTGAAGAAATATTACTATCACTGCTAGTTTTCTGCATAATAGGACAGATTGATCTGACAAAACTTAGAATGCCTCAGTAGTATTTTTAAAAGAGAATTCTTTTTATGCATGTCATTGGTTCAAGGTGATCACGATGCCCTTTACATCCCTGGAAGCAGTATTACTAACAACAATAACAACAATGATGTGTATCCTGTGTCTCCTGTGCTTGGTGGAACCTCTACTGAGAGCATCGAGAACTACTTCACATTTCAGCCACAGGTCGGTTACCAGACAAGGGAAGTATCATGTCGGGATTCCCGCGGTGCAATTATTGATATAAGGTAAGTAATTAATTAGATTGAATGCCATATGTTGGACAGTATATGAGCAAGAAAGTATCTGGAACACTTCACACATAGACATTCAGATTATACGAGCATATTGTCAAATGAAGTGCAGAACTGCTTCTGAATAGTGGGTTCAGAGTGATGACTGAGAAAATATTTCAGGAACTTGTGCACTGATTCACCTCAGCTCAGCTCAGCTCAGGCATTGTTCAGTGAACTGCATCAGACCCATCTGGAGTCTAGTCATCAAGGCTAGATTAGGTGGATAGGAAGCTATTGTGACTATTCTTATTTTCAGATATCTTGTGTATTAATTGGCGTAAGTTGAAGGTTCAAGTACCAACAGAATGTAGGAAATAAAGAAGGGATAAAAAAATATTTTCCAAGAGGTTTGAGTTTGAATCCAGACAGTTACAAGAAACATAGTTTTTATGTAGCTTCTTCAAAATGTGGTGTCATTTTCAACCTACTACAAATTTTTGTTCATATATGTCTGATGGAGAAAATGTGAGTCATGTGAAGGATGTAGGTCTGTATGCTAAATCTCACTTCTTTATAACGAGTAGTTGAGGAGTGTCAGATCTTCTGTTGGCAATGGAAAGGAAGTACATTGAGTTGGCCAGTCACTATTTTTACAGCAATTTGAGGGTGAATCAATGCATGAAACTACATCCACATATCAAAGGCTATGGCTTCATTATAAGAAAAACTGGAAATTCCAGGAAGTGGCATGGATTTGAAATGTTGAATCTCATAATTGTAAGTCAGAGAAAATTTGTAAATGACAGGTAATTTATTCCCAAGGTTTCATTCCTCAGATCTTTTTGCATTATTTAAATCCCAACACAAGATACAAAAGGAGTGCTATTCAGTCAGCGACTGAAGTAGGCGTTATTCAATGAGCCCATAAGAAATGGAGATTATAGAATTGCAAGTGTAGTCATTAAGATCCCATGTATACTGCATTTCACAAATTGAAGAAGTATAAGCCCTTATTTTGGGGGCATGAAATTCTTCCAAACAGAAAGCTTACTAAGAACATAAAATCCTTCAGACATTTTTGGATGTCATGTAGCAATTTCCAACAGCTTGTGGATGTTTTACCCCTAGCAAAATGCAAATAAATTTTTCATGATGACATTTCACAACTCACTGAACTGTCACCATTCAGAGCATACTCACATTTCTGGGTCTTTATTTGGCTACATATATATTGCTGCAAGATCATAGCCTGTATGCTTATAATTTTTTTTTCTTGTTTTCAGCTTGTGTCTAAATGAAGAAGCTCGTCGTAGTGAGATGCCCTCTGATGTTCGCCCCTGTGTTGTAGCCCAAGACTGTGTTGTGAGCCAGTGGTCTGCCTGGGTTCGAACTCAGGATGGATGCGTGGCTTCTTCAGGAAAAGTAAGTAGCAGAATATTGTCATGTGTATCAGTGACTAAGAGGTGGGTTTGGATTGTTAACGAGATTTATTAACAACCTACAGTTTGTAATTACAATTAATTATTACATTATTGCTGATTTTTACTCTACAAAGCACTCAATGCTTAGCTCTTCAACCTATCTGCACTAGTCTTCACAAATTTATAACACAGGAACTATAAAAGTCCCACTAAATCACACACTCCCAATATCACTGTTCTACAGCACATATGAAGTCTTCCTCTCACACTAAATCTTCACAGGTTGACTTCCTGTACTCTTTTGCATTCCTCCAGCTTACTGCTTGCTTGCTGTACCCCTCCAGCTTATTGCTGTCCTCTTGTTTGCATGCTTCTTCCGCCACTACTCACTCATAACTTGTAACTGCCTTGAACTCTCCTAGACTCTTACTTATATAGCCGCAGAACGGACATGCATCACAGGAAACGCATGTCACATGATCACTGCCTACGCTTGTGTGATATCACGGCAGACACAGAAAACACAGCTTCCTCTACTGAAGCGTACTGGACTGTGTTTACAGAGCTGTTGCCTAGCAATATGTTGACCAAATTTGTTGCAATATATAAGTACTCAGTTTTGAGTGGGAAGAAGGATTGTGTTGTGGAAAAAATATTTTATTGGCAGTGTGATATTCTAAAAACAAGATTTTATACCATGAAGATAGAGACAACAGATTAGCCCCAGACACTGGAATCTATTTACCAGACTGCATGGTGTCATATAACAGAAGATCATACTCTGACTATTCATAACTGCCAAATCTGTGTCCTGTAAGTATATACTAGCTCAGAAAGAGCAACTAGTTTTTGTTTTTCTTTTTTAATTTTGTGAGTGTTAATATATGACATGTGGAAAGAACTTAAGTATTTATCATGAAATGTGAGTTAGGTTACAAGGATTTCAGGGAATTTCACAAAACACCAAATACACTTAAAACATACATTTGTTATTGCTCTTAGTAATACTGCCTCGATCATTATCTATTCTGATTAATCATCAAAAGAGGCACCTAAAATTGTTCAATGCCAGGTATTTCAGATTCTTACATTGGTGACTATGAAGATACTGTATTCTGTGACATGGCCAAGAAGATTTGTATAGCAGTAATGCTCTAGAAATATCATGGGTTCGAATCCCACTCAGGGCATGGATGTTTGTGTGCATTTTTCTGTGTTTGTCTACAGGTAGAGGCCTTGCGACGAGCTTATCACTCACCCAAGGAGTCCTACCGCATGTGTAAGATCTAGTAAACCGAAGTGAAATGGAGAGTTTCATGGAGGTAGGCCTAGGCCCAAATTGGGGCTGTAGTGCCACAGGAAAAAAAAATGCTGTAGAAAAGTGGGTATTCTGACCAAGGTTTTTCGCGGTTTTCCTCAGTCACTGTAAGCAAATTCCAAGGTAGTATACAGTAACTAGAAGATTATTCCTAAATAAAAATATTGTCCAGTGTAGCAAAGAACAACAGATGAGCTGAAGATGAATGTAAATTACGTTAATATATATGACAATGGCCAAAAGGCCAAAACATGTAATAAAATTATAGTGTATGGTATATCAATAAAAATAATTGTGTTGACAGAATAGAACAATAAAGAAAATAATTAGGCCATGACTGTTTGCTTTCACATCCTTTCCTATTCATTATTCACAAATCATTCTATGACTTGATACTGTGATATAACATTATATAGAATTATTTGCAAAGAAGAATGATGTTAAATTCAAGTACTGTATCCTGAAATTGAAATACTGTCATTTATATACATTCCTAAAATTATCTTGTGTCGAAATATCCACAGATTTTGTGCAGTAAAAGTAAAACTGTAGATCATTTCTTATGTATGTATTATGAAACACTGTTAATGTATATGGCTGTTTGGTTTCTTACATTTCCATGAAGATCATAAGATATATTTAAGTAAACATTTCATATGTCCCTTCTGTTTATTTCATTACTGTTAGAAAGAAAATAATACAGTCACTTGAAATGTATTTACTTTTGTTTTTCAACACCTCAACAATTCAATTAAATAAACCAAAGAAATAAAGTGTTAGTTATGACTGAAAGTTCTCCTGGGAAATGGCTTCATCTTCATTTTCACAATCAATACAATGTACACTTTCATATGTTTTAAAACTCCATTGATAGAATCACTATTATTATTTCTGGGCCTAAAATTGCTGTAGTAGTAAAGCTTTCAAATCTACTACAGGTATGTTCTCTGCAGACACTTCATTAATTAGTTAGCAAGTTATAAAAAGTTAAACAGTTCCATAACAAATAAAATAGTTAACAAATGTTTATTAATTGTTCTTGAAAAGCAATATTCTTATTATCTAAATGTGAATGAATTAAATTGCTATTTATTGCATGTAGGAAACTATTTTATCTAAGTTATTTCATTTTGACTTTTGTGTTTTTGAAACAAACAGTTTCAGGTAATGTATATGAGGACAAATCAGTATTTTTCATTTTCATTACCTGTTCTCCTACTTTGTTCTAGATTCGTCCTGAAATCCATGAGCGGAAACGTGAGGTGGTGAGATTACAAGAAGGTGATGGGCAGCCATGTCCCCATCTGTTGGAGACAAGACACACCACAGATCGTGACCAGCTCCAGCTCTGTGCGAATAAGTGAGTTACTGAGTTAAGTCCCACTTCACTTTACTACAGTACCTGTACTGTTATGAACGTTAAAACAATGAAAATATTCAATTACAAAAAAATAGTATGTTTGAATATTGGCCTCTTATTCTTCAAACCACGTTATATAAAGTTAGGTTTGTGGACACGAAACCTGAGGTGGCACAACAAGAAGAGGTTCCCGTAGAAGACGCCGAAGTAATGCCAGTCAGAGAACCGAAGAAGAAAAGGCATAGGGACCGAAACCAGCAAAATATGAAGAACTCAGAAAGGAGAAATTGTGGACCCCAGAAGAAATCTGCTGTCGTCCGTGGAGGGACGAGCCACCGTGCAAAAGTGGCACAGAAAACACAAACCAACCAGAAGGTGTTCCGCTGTGCAGCAGTGGCACAATGCAGGAGGGAAGCCTTCAAGAAGGAAACTACCCAGGGAACCTTCGGATGCTGGAGAAAGGAATTGTCCATTGACAATTGTCTACACCGTCTCTGCAAGCAGCCTTATGACGAGTCTCAACCATGCGAGGTGTCCGTAACAGCGTAGAGAAAACAGCAGTGCGCACTGTTGCGCCACGGTCTCGGACCAGCAAGTGGCGGGAAGACCAGGAGGAACGATGACGTCAGCAAGTGCAGACCACACTTCAAGTGCTGTTATGTCGACATAAGGAACTTCTGACAGAAGACATGATCAAGGATTGGACCTTGTGGAGGGGTCGACCCTGTCCAAAACAAGAAAGAAGCAGAGCACAGAAGGAGCTGGTAAATTAGAAACACTGGCCTCCCCAGAGAGAACGAATGAGCAAGAGAGAAAGTGAAGGAGTGAATGTGATACAACTGGATCTTCTGGAAAGTTAACAGGAAGCCGCTTGACACGAGTTGGTCTTAAGAGGGGAGCAGATGTAACGGACGGAGAATAGTCTCTGCAAGAGTAGTAGCTGAAACAACAGGAGTCACAGCAAGCACAGCAACAGGAAGAAAAAGGAACGGGGATGTACCGTTAGGCTGTTTGGGACGAACAACCTTTAGAAGGGAGTAGTGTGATGTGGATGGCGCAATGGGAAGTAGGGGTCACGTGAACTCTGCAGTCTCATGAGTGACGTCACATACCCCCACCCCTTCCATTATCATGCGACGCTTGGTAAACACCCCCTCCCCGCAATGATGTAACAGAGGAGCAACTGTGTCAGGCAACCATTGCCGCGGTGTTGTTACCAAGGGATACCGCGGTTACTGCCCAGCCGTAAACAACTCCCGACAGCATTGCTAGCAACACCTGTAAACACGGCGTCAGGCAGCAGCGGTACCTGTCACGTAACTGTTTTCTGTGTTGTCCGTGCTGAGGCTAAATAAGGAGCAGCGAACACTACTCAGTAGTGAGTGAGTACTGAGCCAGTTACAAGTCACGAGCAGTTGAAATATAGCAGCCGCTGAAGATAGTTGCAGTCTAGCCTTCACTGGAGGAAGTGATTGTGATACTGCCGATGGCAGTAATTGTGTAATTGTGAATTGTATACGTGAATGAGCGAATGGGAATTAAATTCGTTATATTCGATATGGCATAAAATTATTTGTCGTCTGTCACACACCCAACACGTGACAATATCATAATTATTTTATCATTTCTATTTTTTCTTATTCTGGGTGTGGAACAAGACTGAGTCCCTTGATCCTGCGGTCTGCAAATGTGCCTACTATTCCCACCCTGGATGATAGAAAAAAGAATGAAGAATGTATGAAATGATAAATGGCAGAAGAAAGTGAAACTACTTAGAGAATAACCTGGTCTAGTGCCAATTTGTCCACCACAAAACTCACATGAATTAATCTGGAATTGAACCTAGATCTTCATGATGAGAAGCCAGTGGTTAACTTCCTGAACTTTGGTTCACAAATCTTCATCATTATATAAACGAAGAACCTATTAATGAGGAATCTGTCATATTCATATATTTCTTTCAGATATCGCTGGCTGGCCTCAAAGTGGAGTCCATGTGTCCTGACGTCTGATGAACCTGCTTTGGGCTCAAAACTAGTGGAAGTAGGCTGTGGTGGTGGTGTACAGCTTCGGGAAGTCACATGTGTGCAGGCCAGTCAGGGCAGCCAACCTGTGTCTGATGAACTGTGTGAATCTTTGGAACCATTGCCAACTGTACAAAGGTCAGTACCAACATTGTGTTTGTACATCTTTTTGAACTAGTCATTTCTGCTTTTACAAAATTTAATGGTTTTCTTCGAACGGGCAAATAGTGGTGAAATATTCTCATAAATCCAGTATCAAGTATATTGTGAACTTCATGTAGACAATACATATTTAAAAATCCATTCTGTCCATTATAGAGAACACAGTATCTTGATTAAAATGATCACTTAGCTAGTGCTTTTTAGAAATATAGTCGCAGTTTAGTTTGATGATTATGTGAACCCAGAAATACACTCTATGGGCATTAACTCAAAGTCCATTTAGTATATAAATGACCACTGTTCTTTATCCATTTGTCATACTGTTATCATTTTCAAGCCAATAAGTACATTATCAACCAAAATTTATAAAAACAGTTCAGTGAGATTGTCAGCCATGGTGCTTCAACGTCTTCTGCATAAGGGTCATTCCATGTGAAGTCATCCAGAGAGGTCGCTCACTATTTTTAAAAAAATTCATAATTTGTACACTTGTTTACACATATTTCCACACTTCAAAAATATTAAAAAAATTGTAATCTGCTCGGTTCTCTTGGTACAGCCGTTTTTATGATGCGAAAAAACGCGTTTTTGGCTCAAATGGAGGTTTGCGTTATCTTCTATATTTCGATAACTATTGAAGTCAGAGACTCCAGTAATGAACCAATTTGTTCCTCATGATATGGACTATAAATCATATCATTACAAGGTTTCACTCAACTCACTTCCTCTAGGTCTAATTAACTTGGCTATTAGTTGAATATCAGAGTTGTAATTTTAACTCCAAGTTACTCTAGAATAGAGCATTATTTGTTATGAATTTCAAATTTTTCGGAGCTTCTCCACCGGAGATATGAGATGTTAAAAAGGCCGATTTTGGTCACAGAGCAAAGTTTTAAAACTCCTGGAAAATTCTGGAAACTAGGTATGGGGTTCAACCTACGTGACTATATTCCCCACGTAGGAAACAACAGAGGGTAGAAACCACAGATATGATACTTTCCCCCTCCCATTGGTTTTTGAAGGTGAAAAATAGCGTTTTTTCCCAAAATCGATAGGTAAGTTTCGAGCTTAATTAGACCTAGAGGAAGTGAGTTGAGTGAAACCTTGTAATAATATGATTTATAGTCCATATCATGAACAAATTGGGGTTTCATTGGAGTCTCTAACTTCAATGGTTATCGAAATATAGAAGATAACGCAAACTTCCATTTGAGACAAAAAAGCGTTTTTCGCATTATAAAAACGCTGTACCGGGAGAACCGAGCGGATTACAATTTTTTTTAAATATTTTTGAAGACTGAAAGTATGTGGAAATAAGTGTACAAAATATGAATTTTTTAAAAATGGTAAGCGACCTCTCTGGATGACTTCACATGAAATGACCCATAAGATAATTTTATTGAACTGTATGTAAGAATACATATCTCAAAAAGTAACATGTAAATATTATCAGCAGTTCAGAAGTTACAAATCTTTTCAAAGACTGTGAGAACTGCCAACATTATTCAGAATTTTGCATAAAGGAACTGAGGTCTTGCAGTGTACCATGTGAGGTGCAAGAATAATGTCCTGTAGAAGAAGTTGCACTATAGTTTTTAACACTCAGCATTTCTCTTACACGTCATAAAGGAATAACTTAAACTATAATGATTTCATATAATTTTGCTCATAAGTGTCCAGCAGTAGAGGTCCCTCTTAAACTGACAGAAAAGATGTAGCTTTAACTAACAGTTTTCACTCCACCATACTGGTATACTTGAAGACTAAGTTAAAACATATTAAAATGTAAGATGGTCTCCAGTAACATGATCTTCCTAAAAAGGTTCACAGAATCCAAGAATTAGAAGTCTTTAATAATTAATCTGTAACTGGATCAAAGAACATATGGACAGTTAGACATATAGCTAATTAAGAGGGTACTAGAAGATGTTACAAAATGTGGTTGAGATCCAATAAGGAGAATGATGAGAGCAGTATTATTAATACGAATGACATCCTCTGCTACATATAATTACGCTTTTCTTTCACAAATTTACCTACCATCAATGTTTTGAAACATGGTATAAATATTGTATTCTTCTCTACTGTGTTGTTCTTATTTATGTATGAAATATCTGTCAAATTTCATTTTCCTCTCAGGTGTGAGGTTGCATGTCCACGTGACTGTGAGGTAGGGCAGTGGGAGCCCTGGGGGCCATGCATGCCTCTGGAATGTCCTTTATTTGGAGATCCACCTGCTAAAGGTACTGGCTGCAAATCAAATATTACAGTTGGAAACACTGGATACAAGTGACAGAACCCATGTAGTTGGAGAGGGGGGGGTGTTGTATTCTGAAGAAATGTTTGATGTTATTCTGACTCATATTTCTCAATTTAAAATACTGCTAACACTTCAGAATGCATTGTGTGGTGGGAGGAACATGGTAATGTTAACTGGTAGTCAAGTACAAAACTTAGAAACTACCATATCAGCATAAATGGATTGATGAATGTATAAAATACACAATTAAATATATTGATAATGGGTGTCAAAAATGTGATAGTGCATCCAAAATTTGAAAAATACAGTCACCCACTTCTCTTGGATAAATTACCTCTCCAAGCTGATGAGAAACAGTTTACAGTTCTCATTTATGTTAAAGATCTCTGTTTCAGCTGGCCTAATATTTTTAATTGTTCTTCTTGTGTGAGTGTATGCAGATTGGATTCATCAAGCTAAGTGTATACTGCAATGGTGGGTTACTGTGAATAAAATAATAAACTTTCTGGTTTCATAAAAGACAGTCTGTTTCTTGACTAGCTGTGGACTGTAAGTGTATTGTTTTTATTTCATGAAATTTGTGTAAAGATTGCATAAATACCAATGGAAAACTTTTCAGAAACTTTGTAAGTTTTGAGGTTTTCACGGCGATGACAATGAAGAAAGTTGTCTTCTGGGTTTAGGCACCGTGTAGTTCTTCTTGCCTACCGCCTTCCTAGTGCTATTGACCTCAAGATCTTGGATTTTCTGGCCGTCCCCCCCCCCTACTTAGTACACATCATATGGTCTTTATCGCTCTCAACAATCTCGACACGTGGAACATCCTTTCCCTCAAGAGAATCCTACTAGCCACACCAGTTCTTCGTCATGTCATTGACGTCAATAGCCTGTCCTCAACCTACCGGTTTTTCTTGACTACCGCACTTCCTAGTGNACAAAACAAATACAAAAAATTTAAACAAACACACAGATAACAGAATAATTAAAACTAATTGTTTATGTTATGCTCCACATATTCAGAAACTGTATAAAAGGAATTATTCATAAGATATAAAGA